ACTGAAGGGAGTCAGGGCAGAAACTCAAGGCAGGAGCCTGGAGGAATGCCGCTTACTAGCTGTCTTCCCTGGCTTGCTCAGTTACCTTTCTCAGACAGCCCAGGCCCACCTGGCCAGGGGTGGTACCACCCAGAGGACTGGGACCTCGTACATTCATCAGCAATTAAGAAAATGCCCCACAGACAAGGCCACAGCCAACCAGATGAAAGGAATTCTGCAGCTGAGGTTCCCTTTCCCACGTAACTCTAGTTTGTGTCAAGTTGACAAAACTAGCCAGCACAGGCCCTTTCTTCCAGGGGCCCTCAGGACATTCTCAGCAGACTCCCCAGCATTTCTGGCTGGACAGCACCACAGGGCATCAAGAGCCAGCATCTGACCCCAGCTCAAAGGATTTGCCGTGGATGGGAGGAACCCGAGGCTCTTCATTGACAGGTCAGCCACAGCAAGGCTATCACTCAAAGACAAAGGAAAAGGGGCACCAGCATCTCCTGACCAGCTGATCTGATCAGGCGCAGAACCATTTGATCTCCTAGATACGACTTCATTTTGAGAGCTGGGAAGCAGGCTCTGAGAGTTTAAATTAACCCGTCTCATGCCTTAGAGCTCATGCTGGGGCTGACCCCTCACTGTTATCAGTCACATCTGAGATCCCCACCCTCATCACTTTTCAACCATATGCTCAGAACTCAGTTAGGGCACAACTTACAGGTCTGCTGGACAGCAGGTGTCAATAGCCTGCAGCCCAACTCACCACCTCAAGGTGGAGTCTCCCCGATGCCTGACTCCTACAGAGAAAGGCCCCTAGAGTCCAGGACAGGGCTCTAGAACGACAGAGCCAGGAAGACGGGCAGGGCCCTCAGAGGCTGGGAGTCCACACACATCCTTTCTCCCTTAAGTTGTTTCAGGGACTTGAGAGACCGCTCAGCACTTAAAAGCACTGGCAGCTCTTCCAAAGGACCAAGGTTCGGTTCCCAGCACCCACATGACGGCTAACAACGACCTATAACTCCAGTTCCAGGGGACTTGAATGCCCTCTTCTGGCCTTCTCAGGCTTTGTATGACATGGGTGCACTTACACACCTGCAGGCAATACACTCATACACATAAAATAAAGATTAATTTAAAAATCCAAGTTGTTTCAGGCAGATACTGGTCTTACTGGTCACAAAGTAACAGATGCAGAATCACCGCAGAGTCCAGAGAGGTTGGGGGGTGGGGGTCCAGGAGCCAAGAGCAGGTACAGTCAGATCTCTAAAAATCATGTAACTTTCAATGAACTCACCAAAATAGCCTGGGAAGCCTGCGAAGGTGTATGGCCCCTGGACATACAAGGTGCACAGGAAAAGGGAGCCATTAAGGGGACAAAGAAACCACCTGTGGCCTGTGAGGGGGACATGGGGAAGCCAGGCCTGAAGGGCAGCCCTGCAGGTTAAAAATCCCCCTCAGGCCCAACGATCCAAACACCATCCATCTGGCCCTGCACATTGCTGAAGTAAGCAGGAGCCTGGAATAAAAAGCGGCCTACACTGAATCTTGAGAAAAAGAGACAATGAGCTGAGGAAGCAGTGAGTGGGGAGGACCCCAAGCCAGCCGGGCAAACACCTATGAGTGGGCTGTGTGGCCTGTGGTGCTTATGTGGCAAGTGCACAGCCCTGGGTTCCATCTTCAGCACTGCATGAACCTGAGTGGGTGGCATATGTCTACAACCCCAGTACTCAGGAAGTAGGAGCAGGAGGCTCAGAAGTTCCAGGTCATCCACAGAGCTCACGGCCAGCCTAGATATCCCAACGTCCTTGCAGCTTCCCATTGAAGTGTCTGTTTCCATTGGCGTGTCCACGCATCTCATTCCTCTGAGGCAGACCACTTCATGCCCTACACCTAGTCAGTCCGGCCACTCCTTAGGGATTCCTGCTCTGTGCTGGGGAGGGAACAGAACACAGCAGGGGCCCACTGGGCCCCTACATGTAGGTGTGGCAGACCCCGGTTCAATGTCAGGACTCTGAAATTTTTTCTTCCATTTACCAGATTCAAGGATCAAGAATAGTGGGAAGAAAGTGAGCTTTTTTTATCCCTGGAATTCTGGTGGCGGTTGAGTGCTCCTATCTGAAATTCCTGGGAACAGAAGTGTTTATAATTTCTGAGTTTTTCAAATTTTACAATTTTTTTAAGTGGTATCTGTTAAGCATCCCTAATCTAGAAATCTAGACTCTGAAGTTTTTTAGTATCACATTTCAGATTTCCAGAAGTCAGGTTTGGATCGGGTACTCACAGCCTGTCACCCTTCAGCAGCGCTTTCCTGGGAACCACAATACCAGTGGGGAGGGGAAGCTACCCACCTTTCGGATTTTAACTGGTCTCATGGTGGAATCACACTCTGGTACACTATGGACAGGTTTGCAAAATGACACAGGTCTTCTGTCCAGCAGCAGGGGGCGCTTTCTCTACATCAGGTCTGTGTCCAACCATTGAGAGAGCTCTCATCAGCCAGAACCATCCCGACCACAGACACAGCTTTCCACACAAAAGGACTTTGCTTCGGGGAATTTGTGGAAACACAAAGTCCCACATTCGGGTAAAGGGTAGGCAAATAATTGTATAGTAGCCAAACAGAACGTGCGCCAGGCAGGGAACACAGTGGGACTGATCGACCATCTTTGTCTGCCGAAATGCTGCAACTGTACCATGACTCGTAACCCCAGGAGGAAGTACACACAGCAGTTGCCAGTAGTGAACAGATTTATGACCCATCCACTCAGCAGATTATGTGGTTGTAAAAATTTATATTTATGATGCCAGCATGTAACGTGGACAAATGCTTACAGTATAATGTTGAGTGAAGTCACAGGCACAGGAGTGTAACGACCTGAGGGGTGGGGGGCGTGCATATCTCTTTCTATTTCCCAGAATTTCTAAGATATGATTGTATCGTTTCCTTAATAATATATCTGTGAACATAAGCAGGTTGTGTCTGGATCACTTCCCACCCGAGTCTCTACAATCAGGCCGGGAGCTCTGTCCCTGACTCAGCTTGGCCTGCTGGAGACACCTGGGCCTTGGAGCCCCAGGCTGCAGTTGGAGCCTCAGCCTAGTCAGTCCACTGTCCCTCTTGGGGCTGTCTCTACATCTCAAGTCTTTGTACCTATAATTGAAAGACACCGGGTGGCTGAGGATGAAATGAGATGGTGACATAACCACTCATCCAAGCAACCAGGGACACAGCAAGTCACCAATGAGCTCAGACTCTTATTACGGGCACTAACCCCAGTGCCATCATAGACCACCAGCAGACACTTGTGGGCCAGATGTGGCTCACAGATATATTTTGCTCACCGTATAGTAGTTTTGACATTTGCACCCACATTTTAAAAAACCTTAGATTTTGACATACAGGTGCCATGATTGAATTATGTTCCCCAGAAGATAGACTGACGTCCTGGCTTCTACTGCGGAAAGTGGCTTTACTTGGAAGCAGGGTCAGTGCAGGTGTGGTTATTAAATGAGGCCAAACTGGAGCAGGGTGGGCTCCACACCCAGCATGACTGGTGTCCTTCAAGAGGACGGCGACATGAAGACATGAAGCCCCACAGGAAGAGAGCCTTAAGTTCGCAAAGGCAGCATGGGAGCTATGCGCTGTGAGCCAAGGCACACCCACCATCACTGGGGCACCCCAGAGCTGGGGAAAACAGGAAGGAAAACCCACAGACACCAGAAGGGAGCACAGCCAGCACTTGAGTCCAGGCGTCCGGCTCTAGAAAAGCAGGACAGCATCTTTCTGTCTTTCTGAAAGACTCATTTTTGTCATACTTAGTTCAGATAGTCCCAGGGAAACAGTATGCAAGGATTTATACCCCTCCTCTCTCTTTCCCTCTCTCCTTTTTATTCAGACAGGGTCTCATGTAGCCCAGGCTGGCCTCAAACGCCCTGTGTAGCTATGGATGGCTTTGAACTCCAGATCTTCCTGCCTCCCCCTCTTGAGTGCTGGGATAAACGTGTGTCACTGCACTGGCTTAAGGATTCACACTTCTCTTGAAACACTAGACTGTCTGACACCACCGGCCCACCTCACACCAACCAGTATTCTGGGCCAGGGAAGGCTTGGTCTCCACCAGTCCCTACTGTCACCTTGACTCCAGGAGGATATGTCCTTGGCTATTCGTTATGGGACCTGCACAGTTTTTCTTGTAGAAGAAAAGTATTGGGAATAGAGAGATGTCTCAGTGGTTAAGAGCACTGGCCACTCTTCCAGAGGACCTGGGTAATCCCAGTTCCAGGGAATCTGACACTCTCTTCTAACCTCCATGGGCATTGTACCTCATGGATGCACTTACCTATATGCAGGTAATACACTCATACACATAAAATGTGTGTGTGTTAAAAGAAGCATTTCTCCATAACCATCTCTCTATCAGAAGATGAAGCGGGGGGTAGGGGCACCAGTTCAGGAAGAAGCGGATGAGGCCTGTGTCTGCTTGTGTAGAACAAGCCTACTGCTTGGCTGACACACAAAACATCCTGCAACCTGCTCTTCGGCACACCAGCTGAGCCCTGAAGGCAACTGAATTTCACCAGCCCAGCTCAATGTTCTCCTCACCAGGATGCTTAGTCTCTCTCCCTGTGAGACAGCACAACACAGCTCTGCATTATTCAACAAGGCTCCTGAGCTTCCAGAACACACTATTAGGTATCATAAAACAAACCTGAGTGTCCTTAAATCCTTCAAATAGTCTGAGTATTTATGTTTTTAATTTCGGGTGCACATACTCCAAGGTCTAAACACAGAATTCTATTAGTAAGTTTTCCATGAATAAATTACCATATCTGGGTCATGTCACTGCACCATAATGTATGCTGTCTTTAGATGGTGCTAAGAGACTTTCTTTCATCAGCCAACACACTGCCATGTTCCTGCTTTGGGGCCTCTGTGACTGACTTGTACCCTCCCCTCCGCTCCAAGGCCCGCTCGTCCTGCAGATCCGTGACAGGCACCATGGCAGGCTCACCTTGGGGGGCTTCAAGCTTTTCCCTCGATGTCTCTTGGAGCGTAGCAACCGTTCTCTCTCCTGCAAGGAAGCACACCCACCCCATCAGCACTGGCAACCAGCCCCCACTACAGCGAGCCATGCAGCTAGGAAGTCAGAGACTCGGCACACAGCCTTGCCTGTCCCCACCTGCATGGGCTAGTTCATATTCTAGGCACCCAACAGAAACCATAGTGACAAGCCACATACTCAGGCCCTTGTCTGGGTGCAGACCTTCCAGGAACACATCCCCACTGATGGGCCACCCCACCATAGGCAAGCCTGGATTACTCTTTGGGGTCAAATGGCTATAAAGCCTAAGCGTGTAGCCTGTAGGATCTAGCCTGCAGTGTGAGACGGCCCATGACTTTGAACTTGGACACAGCTGGGGTAGAATTCCCCTATAAGCCCCCATCTGGCCAAGTGACAGATTTATTTCCCTAGTTCTGTCTCTTCCCTGCAGCCTTGCCCTGGCCATGATCTGCGGAAAGAGCCTTGGTGGTACGGGAGTGTCAGAGGCAGCACTGTGCCCAGATGCAGCCAGGGCCCCTCACTCTCAGCACACCCTCCTTCCCCTCCAACAGGACAGAGCTAGGACTCAGCCTCAGGTTCAGCCCCACCATTCCTGACCCCGACAGACTCATCCTTATTTTCCCTAGCCTTGCTTTGGTTCATTACTCATTTTTTTTTTCACTTATCGTCTCTTTTATTGAGTGTGACTTGTCATCCTTATGTCATCTGGGTAATGAAGCAAAG